GAAAGAACACAAGATTTATTTTTAACGATACCAGCAGTAAAATATCAAAAGTGATAATAACCAAAGTAAATGGGAAGAAATTTGCATATAGAAATCAATTCTTTTTTTATACCAAATTTTCAATATCTATTTGCACACTACTGCTCCTATGCCAGAGCCAAATATATGCTATAACTTACCCATTGCACCCATGTTTGCAAGAGTAATGTACTTAAGTAGTGCTGGTTTATGTTTCTTCCACAACTGACCCAGAGTCCTTTCATCAGGAGTACCACAACAACTATAGTAAATGTTGAGGGCCAAGGTCTCACTGTGGCCATAAAAACAGTCCTATTTAAAACAAGAAAAGAGTGTAAGTGAAACGACTACTAGACAACCTATTATGTATTACAGACTGTACATTTTCTCTGGTTGTGGAGAAGAGAACTAATTCTGATGGAAATGTTATCCTTATATCTTGCTAGATTATTTAATCATTCGTTAATTAATTACAGCAGCTAGGGAAACAAAACAAAACAAAACTAGTCAATTAAAACACATCAAAAATTGCACAAAATAAGCAAAGCCTTATGATTACACTTTCAAACTCACCAACAGGCTTCCAGAATGGGGGTGATATTCTGAATCACGGGCTGTACCATTAACGAGCTTGACATCTCCACACTGTGACTTATCCTGAGGTAGTCCTGCTGCCTTGGAGTACACTGAGCCAAGATGATTGAAGACCTGTTGAAAACAGACTTTAGATTTCAGTGAAATTCTTTCAAAATCAAAAACTATATAAGCCATTTTCATCAGATATCTCAATTCCATGATTCCCAAAACTAATGCACCAATTTTGATGCAGAGATAATATATAAGACTTTATGTAAGCCCATCATCACCTCAGAATCATGCTGCGACATACTGAAGTTGGAGACACTAGACAGTGGCACTGCCACTCCCTGTCCTCCTCCTCTAAGTACAAGGGCCAGGGTAAATTTCTTTTCTGTCATCCACTTCTGAATGGCAGTAACTTCTGGCTCTACATTTGCAGGCCCTGAATCTTAAAAAAGAAAAAAGAAAAAAGGAATGATTATAATTTAAAAACTTACAATCTCATAAATATGCTAAAAAGAACAAAATGTTTGGATAGGAAACAAAGAAAATAATCCCATATATCCAGTCATTCTATAGCATGGTAACATTATAGATGGAATGAATAAACAAACCCATAGCAGTGAAGCTCGTATCCAAGTCAACACCGTTGCCATTCTTTGTCTCCACTTGCTGGCACTTCTCACCCTTCTCCTTGCCTTTTGGTACTTCAGCTGTGCCATCTGGGTTCAAGGTTGGTACCAGATGAACACGTGTCATCTGCAGTATTTTGCTCACTGTTGCATCATGATCATAGTGAGAAAGTAAGTACCTGCAACAAAGTAGACATAAAATTTCAAAGCATTTTTACATGGCAACTAGATTAATCATTAATGAATGGAGTGAAAGCAACGTTGAACTAATTTTGGATGATTCAAAGATCAATTTACATTTTTCATCACCTGATCAATTAATACTATTTGACTGCATGAAGGTTTCATTCTTATTTATCATCTGGAATCAAATAAACAATTGAACGTGGTCACATAAGAAAAGCATGAAGTCTTTGTATACAAAATATGAGATGCAGGAGGAAAACCTTTCAACAAAAAGATAATTGTATTAAAGAATTGCCTGACAATCCCTTCAAGGGGACTATATCAATAGCATGTACCAATACCTTGCAAATTCCAGGACCAGCTCCTTGCCACCTCTGTCACTTGCCCCAAGGCCTCCAATTACAGCTACAGAAGGTACTGCTGGTTGTTTAGCATCATGTGCAGCATTGATTTCCATGGCTAATATCTGCCGACTCTTAGAACTTCTTCCAATCCTGAACAGAAAGAAGGATAAAGTAATCTAATTGCAGTTCTTGCATTTGCAATGTTCCCTAAAATGAACTAATTTATTCTATGCAATAATTTTCTGTTTTCTAGAGAGTAAGGCCCTGTAAAAAACATATTTAAAGAACATGAAGAAAAGGGAGGAAACAAGTCATCTCAAACATAAACTGTGTACATAACATATGAAAACAGGACTTACGAGTAAAGGTTTGATATTTTTGAGTAATTGGAGTTGAGCTTCCGCAAGTGATCCTCAGTCCCATAGTATGAATGGTAGCCTATTGTCATCTCTTTGAGTGAATCCAGAGTGACACTAGCTGGAACCTCTTTGTTAGCAGGAACAACTAACTCCATTGTTTTGTTCTCCAAGTCACTTGCCGTTATCTGGAAAGCATTCGCATCATAGTCACTGGAGCATACATTCTAAATGGTTTCACATATTCTACAGAAAAAATGATTGAACATTTCACTATTTTAAAATAAGAAAAGAGAGAGTGGGAGAGAGAGAGATTATGTATGTGTGTTTGTGTATGTAAATGTGTGTGTGTGTGTGTGTGTGTGTGTGTGTGTGTGTGTTGTGT